TGACAGACACTTTGCTTTTTGTTCCCTCGCCTTGGCCTGCAGTTCCATCTTGTCCGCTTCGGCACGTGCAACGGCCGTGGAGCAGATCTGCACACAGAGCTGAAATTCCAAAGCCAGGTGTTTTGTCTTTTTGCATGAGCTCTCGCATGCTGCATTCTCCGTCCTCTAGCTCTGCCGCGGCGGCTTGCTTCTGCGCCTCCAAGTCCTCCCAACTTGCGCATGGAATCCCAGAACAACTACCCAACAAAAGCCGCTGCATTACGAGAACGCAGTAACGGTAGTGATAGCACTGACAGAAGCGACAGCAACAGTAACCACAGTAGCAAAGCCTTACAGTATGCCTTGCAGTGCCTTGTAGCCTGGAGCTGCCCGGAACTTTGCATTATTGGCCCTAAGTTGCTCATGCCCGGGGTCTGGGTCGAAATGGTTTTTCGGATAAGATGAGTCCGGAAAGGAAGGCCAAAGCTCGTGGGACCACATCCTGGAAATTTGATGATTCGTTGGGCTGAATCCTCCAAACTCTCAGTTTTGGTGAACAGCCAAGCCAAGACGATAACAGGAAGAAAGGCCCTCCAGGGGTTAGCTGCGTTATTGGAAAACTGTTTCCTTAGAACTCCAACGACATCTGGGAACTACTCCTGCAAAGCCTGCTCCGAACACTGCAACTTGGTCGTGAGCTCGTCGTTTGTCGCCTCCAGCCGGACACTAGGCCACGAGGCGACACTCATGATGGCATTGTGCACGGCGCTGGACAGACTGACAGCAGGCTTCTGCCCCATGCAAGTTCTGGGAAGCTCGGACTTACATGCTGCCCATTCTTCAGCTCCAGCAAACCAAAAAAATGCGAAAACTACTTGTGCAGAAGTCTGGAGCAAGTTGCCTGCAGTTTCTCCGCTGCGAACACAGATTCCCGGAGCTCACTCTCATGACTCTCGACCTGCAGGCCAAACCCAACTTACCGCGGCCATTTCTGTGCTGACTGCTTCCGCTGCCTTCTTTCGGGCAGCGACGAGCTGTGCGGCGGCATCGGCAATTTCGGCCTTTGGCCAGCCAGTTACATAAAATACTTCGTGGTCACTGCAACCACATATACATATCTATCATCTCTCTCTTTCTCTCTCTCTCTCTCTACATTTGTTTCTTTAAACTGCTTATGTATATGTACATATAAAAAGTATACCAGCAGCCACCTCGAGGGTCTGCGATACGGCCGTGAGCTTTTGCTGCGTTACTTCTACCTGATCGCGCAGAATTCCGGGATGACAGCGCGCATGGCGGTACACAAGAAGGGCCTGCGTCTGAAGCTCTTCCACCTGGGACTGCAATGCCGCGTTCGCATCCTTGCAAGCACTACATACTCGACATGATGCACCGGGTTTGCATGACATGCCGCTTTGCCTGCAAGGCCTGTGCTGCTGCAACCACCTGCAGAAGATTGACTAGTCAGCAACATCACACCGAACTTGAACACACAAGGTTCTCCCAACTGTGGCATGCCTGTTCTTCTGCACAGGCATGCTGCAAGGCCTTCGCCCTGGCGTCCTGTGTGGTATCCGTGACAGGAGGCGAGTGGTATGCTGTTCGACGCCCCATCTTTCGGATTGTTTGAGGGAGCTCCGGCTCTCCTGCAAACCCTCCTCGGAGCACTGCAACTTGGTCGTGAGCTCATCGTTTGTCGCCTCTGCACAAAGGCTCCGAAGCAGGCCGCTGATTTCTACAAACACAAATCGGACATGTGTCGGTCTCAGCTGTACGATCGCTGCAACAATAGGAAACACCATTGGAACACCATCCAGTTAGACATGGCACCGCACGGGACGCAAGCGCTACATAACTACGTAAGTCCTCATTCGCACCCGGGATCTGGATTGTCGGGGTAAGAACTGCTTGCAGGGCTTCAGCTCACTAGCTGGAAAGGCTCGAGCCTCTGCATTCTCAAGATCGCGGCGAACTTGGTCAGTCTCCGACTGCTGGATCTTCAGCCTGTGCTGCGATCTGACTGTTTTTTGAGGGCCTAACGGCCTAACTGCGTGCTTCAGATGCCAGATCTGATTGTAACATGGCCTGGTGCGTAGATCCGTCCTGTCCTCGGCAACCCTTCGCAAGGCGTGAAGCACCTGCACGTTTTGAATCGCTGTACAGACGAATTGGCAAACACCTCCCATCGCACAGGTGCAAACGGAAAGCTGGGTGGTCACTTCTGACTGCGGTCTCAACAGTGTGCCCGCGTATATATGGCGCTGTCTGTTGCCATACCCGCCATAACCATAACCGTCGTCCTGATTTTTTCGGCTAGTTGAACCTCCGCGACCACTGCTGGTTGGTCCAGTCCTTTCAGCCGTTGAAAGTTGAAATTGCGATTTTTCTAGTGTAGGCTTCTCAGCATGTCACGCCGGCTTCTGTAAGTGTCTCATGCTCCACTATGATGTTGATGATGTTTGCGCTTCCAACAAAATGATGCACACGTTGACCTCAGCAAAAGATATGCTTCGAGGGTCTGCCATATCGGAAAAATACTCCATAGGGCATATGTTGTTTTCTAACTACTGTAAATGCTACAAGGTTGGCAAAAATCTTGGTGCTCACCTTGGGGTCGCACTGCCAAAACTTCCACGGTTTCAACAGTAACTCGTTCCGCCCTGGCGCGGTTGTGTCCAGGCTTGGGTGCCAGAACTATCCGACTATCCTTCCATCCACAAACATGCAAGAGCCTTCCCCGTTGTCCACAGCTTTTGTCGCACAGCCGTGAATCTTTATGTGTTGAGTGCATGCTTCAGTGGATCCTTTTGGCTTCGTTTAGTTTCTATGGCCTTATGGCAGACCTTCCGATTCATCTGGGCCAGAGGTGCAAACAGCAGATGGTCTCTGGCAACATAGCACTTTCTCTGTTATCCTAGCTGTTAGCAGAGTTGCTGGGAACTGACCTTCTCCATGTCTTCTGACTGCAAGCGTCTGTCGCTTTGACCGCTTGTCACGACAGCAGCTCTCTGTTGCTGCACTACTGTCATGCTTTCATTTTGCAGGTTCGAAAACCTCCGAGTCTGGCTGCTGTCCTACATGCTGCTTGAGCTGCGTCGGCAGATTGCAGACTTGCCTCCTCCTGGACATCCAAGACGGTATTCACGTTGGCCATCTCATCTTCCAAAAGACCCTGGTGCGCGAGCAGTTTCCACGGTCATAGAGTCGGATGAGCACCGTCTCCTGCGTATCGGCGACATGCTCGCGGAAGATAGCCACCACTTCTTCCTCAGGTCCAGGGCAGCAGTCTTGAGTCCAGGCAGTTCCATGAGGTTGAGGCTGAGGCTGCAGAGGATGAGGATGCAGTGGTCTCTGACACATCGTCTCTTCGAGTTTCGACCTCTGTCACAGCTTTGAGCACAGAGAGGGGGGCTTCGCAGAAGGCTCAGCTCATTCAGATGCCGACGTCCTTTTTCGATGCAAGGACCCCTCAAAACAGCAAGAAGATTCGGCAACGTCCGTGCAGTCTGTTCTGGCTTTTCTAGCGGCCCTGCAAGTGGCCTGTGGAGAGGGCCTCTTTGCCGATTGTCGCGTTTGGAACCTCGGCCACATGTGCGCATGCCCCTCGTTTCGATTCGACGCCAGGAAGTCTCTATGGAACCTTTCTCCTGCGAAGCAGCCTCTCTGCACCACAAGCCTGACCAGCCAATTACGGTAGTTTGAGCCCTCTCCAACCCTGGTGCAGTGACACGGCGAATCGCTGCAGTGTAGTTCAACTGCAGACTCTCGAGACTTTGGAACTTGAGCCCTTCTAGGAGCATCCCAAGAGTCCCAAAAATGACCCCATGCCACAAACCCCCTCTCCGAGACTCCAGACAGCTTCAGCCCTGACCCGTCGGAGCTCTTCGCCCAGTACATGTGACCTGTTGGGCTGAGATGGGCACCCGCTCAACTACGGTTCTTACGCTGCCAGCGAGTGGAAAGGTTCTCAATCATTTCGCTGTCCTATTAGGTGGAGGAGAAAGGTTTTCGGCATTTCGGCTAAACCTTCCGCTCAGGAGAAGCCAGCACATAGAAAACTTGAGAACCACAGGCAGTGCTTAGGTGTGTTTGGAGTGTCGGTACCCACGACCTGTTGTCTTCTATGATGTTCTAGAATGAATGAAGGCACAGGTTTCTAGGCAACTCGATGATGTAAGAGCTCCATGCAATCCTGAGTATCGCCGAGCGTGTCTTTCATCCTTGGCTTCTTGTGTCGCTGCGCGACGCTAATTCTTCGGTGAGGGCCAACACAATCATCGAAGAATATCTCAGAACCGGCAGCTTGAGTGCCAGTCTTGCGGGACGTAATGAAAGAGCTGCGGTTTCTGTGAAAAGAGGTCAGTGGCTGTCGTGATTCTTGGATTGCAATGCCCGCTATGCTGAGCAAAGCTACGGCAGCACGGAACTTTGGGAAGGGGGCCCCGCCACGAAATGAGCGACGAACGAGGCAAGCTCGACTACACGCACAGATCATGATCGTACACCCTTCGTCGCTCCACGAAATTTCAACAGACCGCGCAAACTGCGAGCCGTCCTTCAATGGAGTAATTCTACTAGAGGGGCCCGCAACTGACTTGATAGCAGAGCTGACGAAAGCTAGGGGACGGACGGCGTAGCAGTGAGGTAGGTGGGGGGCAAGGGGGTCTCGAGGCAGGGCGCGGGGGTGCCTCCCCAATCGACAAGGCCGAAGTAATCGTGACTGATATATCAAGAATAAGGGACGCCCAAACCCGCCTTTGGCCCAAAGCCAAATCTGAAAACAGCAAACTCCTGCACAAGTTCCGAAGGAGCTAGCTTGCGTGATTTGGAGCCTGCCCTCAGGAATCCTAAAGGCCTTCCTTCTGTGTGTCGAAAGCGTCAGAAAGAGAAAGCCTAGAGATCCCATAGTGCACGAGTGCTGACCTGGTCATCCCACATTGTCCTCCATAAGAGAACAACCTATTGATAGAAGGCGAAGAAATCGAGACAGTGACGAGCACCATCGGGGAGTCGATGGCAGCTCATGACTGATCATGGACTAAGTTTCGACACCAACAGCCGTGCTTTGGCACCTCCGCCGCTCCTCCAACAACGCCTGGTGCTGAGTCTCGCTGACCTTTTGCACCGTCCTTGGCAGCAAAAGCTGTGAGAAGCGGAAACAGGACCATAGTCAAAGCTGTCAAGTTGGATCGGCAAGCGCTTGCCGCAATGTAGGACAAGGCAGCAACTCTGACATACCCTGATCTCATGTTGCAAAGATTCGACGATGCAGGCATGCGGGCAGTGAGTGACAACTTCCGCCTCAAAGTGCAGAGATAAGCACATGAGCCGCGGGCTGCAGCTTGCGTGTTGCCATGCACAACGCTCGCTGCACGTCTCCCAGCTCCTCCGCCCAAGCATGCAAAGAAAGGCAGTAAAAAAGAGCCGTGGAACAGAGCCTTCTCGATGGAAACTATCGTGACGTTTGCTTTGTCCAGCTCCTTCTTGTAGCCCTGCGGCTGAGGCATAGGTTGACTAAATGGCTCGTACGCAAACCGGCCTCGGCTTCGAGGACGGCTTGGACCGATGCTGTTTTTGCGGCCTGTGCATGAATCTAGCACTCGCACTCAGCATCGAATATGCACTGCACGCAACAATTCGCCTCCTATTCCGCCTCCGCCACTGCCTTTGTGTTGCTTTCATTGCATTCTTCCGGTGACAAGCACTTGCAGGAATCAACAGGGTCTAGAGCCGTGCGGGTGGTCCTCTCATGTCTGTATGGAGTTTCGGAGTCTCATCGGCCCGCAGCTGGGAGTTTGCGAGCGAGACTATCCGAAACTTGACATGGGGCGTCATTCGAGCGCAAGCTCAGACGTCAGCTCGATGGCCCGATGGGAACCAGCCAGAGAGCTCTTGAGTGCGGAATCTGTCTCTTGACCCTCTGCCGACTCGCCATGCTCGCAGCAGGGTTGCCTACCCAATGCTCCGAACTAGCACTTGCTAAGCACCGAGAAGCGAGCTCGGCGAAGCTCGCTGGCTTGGATTGTAGCGTTCAGAACCTCGGCCACAACATGTGGGCACGCCCCTCGCTTCGATTCGGCGCCAGGAAATCTCGACGGCACCTTTCTCCTGCGAAGCAGCCTCTCTGTGCCACAAGCTGGACAAGCCAATTACGGTAGTTTGAGCCCTCTCCAACCCTGGTGCAGTGACACGGCGAATCGCTGCAGTGTAGTTCAACTGCAGACTCTCGAGACTTTGGAACTTGAGCCCTTCTAGGAGCATCCCAAGAGTCCCAAAAATGACCCCATGCCACAAACCCCCTCTCCGAGACTCCAGACAGCTTCAGCCCTGACCCGTCGGAGCTCTTCGCCCAGTGCATGTGACCTGTTGGGCTGAGATGGGCACCCGCTCAACTACGGTTCTTACGCTGCCAGCGAGTGGAAAGGTTCTCAATCATTTCGCTGTCCCATTAGGTGGAGGAGAAAGGTTTTCGGCATTTCGGCTAAACCTTCCGCTCAGGAGAGGCCAGCACATAGAAAACTTGAGAAGAGCGGAGCCACAGGCAGTGCTTAGGTGTGTTTGGAGTGTCGGTACCCACGACCTGTTGTCTTCTATGATGTTCTAGAATGAATGAAGGCACAGGTTTCTAGGCAACTTGATGATGTAAGAGATCCATGCAATCCTGAGTATCGCCGAGCGTGTCTTTCATCCTTGGCTTCTTGTGTCGCTGCGCGACGCTAATTTTTCTGTGAGGGACAACACAATCATCGAAGAATATCTCAGAACCGGCAGCTTGAGTGCCAGTCTTGCGGGACGTAATGAAAGAGCTGCGGTTCTCGAGAAAAGAGGCCTGTGGCTGTCGTGATTCTTGGATTGCAACGCCCGCTATGCTGAGCAAAGCTACGGCAGCACGGGTCAACTTTGGGAAGGGGGCCCCTTCACAAAATGAGCGACGAACGAGGCAAGCTCGACTACACGCACAGATCATGATCGTACACCCTTCGGCGCTCCACGACATTTCAACAAACCGCGCAAACTGCGGGCCATCTTTCTCCCTGATCGACACGACCGAATTAATCGGGACTGATGTATCAAGAGTAAGGGGCGCCCAAACTCGCCTTTAGGCCAAAGCCAAATCTGAAAACAGCAACTCCTGCACAAGTTCCGAAGGAGCTAGCTTTCGTGATTTGGAGCATGACATCTGCTCACTACCCTCGATGGCCCATCTGCGGGCGACAGAACCCAAAGGACTTGCTCTCCTCAGGAATCCTAAAGGCCTTAATTGTGTGTGTCGAAAGCGCCTGAAAGAGAAAGCCTAGAGATCTCATAGCTCATAGTGAACGAGTGCCATAAAAGAACAAACTATTGATAGAAGGCGAAGACATCGAGACGGTGACGAGCACCATCGGGGAGTCGATGGTAGCTCATGACTGATCGTGGACTAAGTTTCGACACCAACAGCCGTGCTTTGGCACCTCCGCCGCTCCTCCAACAACGCCTGGTGCTGAGTCTCGCTGACATTTTGCACCGTCCTTGGCAGCAAAAGCTGTGAAAAGCGGAAGCAGGACCATAGTCAAACCTGTCAAGTTGGATCGGCAAGCGCTTGCCGCAATGTAGGACAAGGCAGCAACTCTGATCTCATGTTGCAAAGATTCGACGATGCAGGCATGCGAGCAGTGAGTGACAACTTCCGCCTCAAAGTGCAGAGATAAGCACATGAGCCGCGGGCTGCAGCTTGCGTGTTTCCATGGCCGGTCGCCGGTTCCCAGCTACACACACATGCAACATGCAGACACACAGCCTTGAGGGCAAAGGGATGGCATGGGCAACTCAGCAACTCAATTGGGGAGGTTTGCACTTCATTTGCGATGCCGCGGCTCTCACTGAGCATCTGTCCGTTTATCACTGCTTCTGACGGGCTAGTAACGAGGTGCACTTCAGCTGTTCTAGCCAAAAGCCCACAAGTCTCTGACCGTCAAGGTTCCGAGCTCTTGCGAGCCAAATCAGCTGGAAGCAGTTACGCAGTCTCTCACGCAATATCAGGTTCGAGAGACAGCGACCAAGCAAGTCTTGAAGATTATGCCTATGCTGCTACTCCTCTTGGCATGCTACTTGCTGCAGGTCGCTTGTCGTCATATAACTGGACGGTACGCGTACGAGTACGAATCGCACAGCCTTCAGCCTGATAGTGACACTTAGGCAGCAGAAATGGAACTCCTCGCCAGGATCGAAGCGTGGTACAACCTCGTCCATGCAGCACATGTTGTTCCCAAGCCGAACTTTCCGTGCTTGCGGCCGACATACCGTCAGAATGTCCAAGCCGCCCACGGCCATGAGCGTGACAGTTGACGTCAGCAGGCCTCCAAGATCCTGCAGCAGTCGCAACACAAATTTTGGCGGGGTATGTCACGGCAGGCATCCTGCCTGAGCCACTTTGTGGACGCAGTGGGGGCAAGCACTGCTCTTGTACCTGCTCAGCCAGGTATGTGCAACTTGCCCTGCATCGCAAAGCCCTCTGGCGGCATGACGGGCATTCTCGAGCAGTGGGGAGCACGGCTTTTCTGCCAACATGCCGCCGATGACATTCGTGCACACCAATCAGAGAGCTGCGACAGCCTTGACAACAGAAGAACAGTCCTTAACAGATGCGCACTTGGAGCTGCACCCGGTCCATTTCCAAGCTTTGCCGCGCTGACTCCTCGACAGCACTCACAGATTCGGAAGTTGTTAGCCTTCTAGATTCTAGATTCTAGACGAATATGGCGTCTGCCTTCCCTGGCCCCTCTGCTGGAGAAATCCATTGGTTGGAGCTGGGGTCGCTTCGAGCACGGGATCTTGAGTCTTGAGCCATGTTGCCGAACAACTGGAACAATGCAAGGTCACGTTCGAGAAAGAATGAAGGTTGAGGCCAAATCGACAAATGCAAGCCTCGGTTGCGTGTAAGGACAGCGGGGTCGTTTGACGGACACGCTGCGAAAACCAAGCTCACAGACCGCAACTGACCAAAAATCTTGATTGCTCCGGCCTCCCTGCAGCAGGCTGAACTGTCACACAAGTGGAAAGCTACTTCAGGAGCGGTTCATTTGGTTTGCCTTTGAGAGCTGGCAGCATCAATTCTAGTGAAAGATTCTCTCACATAGATGCTCCCATTCTCATCTCATTTTTCTATTTATCTCTACCTGACAATATCTTCAGCCACAAGCCCACAGCGACGAAGACGGCAATAGGGAAAAACTGCAACCAGGTGTGGATACCCCACGCAACTTCATCCGTTTGTAACTGTTTTGACTGGTCATGTGCCATGCAACGCTGGTCTGTAGCTCACATGCAGTCCAACGAGCTTCAGAGCTCGGTTGTCTGAATGCAAGCCACGCTCAGGGGGAAACGAGTTTCGGGGGCTCGAGGCGGCGCTGCCCGGCGGAGAAACGGCCGAAGGACCGGAACGCCACAGTGATAAACACGGCCAGCCAGACGCTCAAGACGGACCTGGCCCGGGAGGTGGCCAAGAAGAGGGCAAGCGTGGGGACTATAGTGAGACAACAGTATCAGGAGCGCACCATGCCCGCCGGCACGAGGCGGTGCACGCGGCGCGCCAGAGGACACTGTAGGCGGCCACGACTTTCAGAGTCTACGAGGACAACGCCAAGAAGCTCACACATCACAACAACACACTGACGCAGGGGCGCCAGCGGCGGCAGCAGTGCCGAACCGCGCGTCGGCTCACAAGGCCGCCGGTTCCTCTGCAGAATTTCAGTTCCGAGACGCCGGTGCTGTGGAAAAAAGATTCCTCCGGCCGGGCCGGGCGGAATTGACATCAATTTCATCAAGCGCACCTCAAAGGGCGAAAAAAGGCCGAAAAGCGCACGGGCCAGATGCGGTCTTTCAGTCTCTGAGCAATGCTGCTTGAAGCAGTCGAAGCGAACGATGCGCAATTGGCATCAAGAGAAGCCTAAGCCAAGCTACACTGCACTGCGAGTTGCAAGGACCAGGACCGTACACTACGTCACTACGTTCATGATGATACACTGATACACGGTGACCAGTCAGTCAGATGTATCAGATTGACTTACCCAAGCGGAGGCATCACCACCATTGAAATTCAAGCTCCTACAGTTCAAGAACGGAGGTCGACATTCATGTGAGCACATGCAGCTTGTAGCTATCACAAGGATTGAGATGGTTTAGTTGCGTTCAGGATTTCACAATCCTTCCATGCGGAGTTTGCAGCTGCTCCAGAGCTGCACAGTCCGTGGCAATTATGTTTTCACCAAAATAGTTTGTGCAACCATTCAAGATCAAGCTCACACCACAGTCAAAATTGCAAGAGGGCTTCACTTGGCTTCCGATACTCTTCCGATGCAAAGGTAACGTCGCACAGCCAACAGTGCGCATGTTCGTCACAGCTCGAAAAGCTATGTACAAGAGTTTTTCCCGAAAGAATCGCGAAGGGTTCTTCCGTGCGAAGCCCTTGAGAGACGTACATAGAGTGAAGTACATCGAGTGAACTGCATAATACATAGAGTGAAAT